TGGGTGCTGATCCTGAAATAAATACTTCCCTGAAGATTTCACCTGAATGACACTGGCTGAAGGGACTCTAGCCACTTCTGGCATGGCAGACATGGATCTAGCAGGCCTGGCCTTTCTTCCCAGTTCCCTCTGCCTTGGTAAAAACGGCTAGATTGCATTCCTAAAGCTAGCCCCCAAGGTCTGTTCCCTTATTTGGTCATTTTCTTCTCCTGAGGCTGACTACCAAGGTTCAGCTATCAGAGTATTTAAGTCCAGCAATCAAAAGCCCCTGTTGGATCACATAATTAACATGCTCAAAAAAACTAAACATCTCATCATAATATGGGGTTTCCCCCTTTATCGTTATAACCTGCTATTTGCTTATAGGCCTTCCCTCTATCTGGAAGCAGTCCTCTGTCTCACTGTGAGACAGATACCTCTTCCCCCTCCCTCTTGCCCCTTTTCTCCCCCCTCCTTTGTTCCCTTCCCCTTCTCCCCCTTCCCCTATGTCTTGTCTTTGTCCCTTATCCCTGCCTTCTGTCCCTCTGGGACAAATCAATCTCCTTTGTGCTGAGAACATGGTCTTGGGTATTCTGAGCTGGTTCAGAGATTCCCTACATTAGTCACAGGTGATTTTTTTCAGCCTCAGTTAATGCTACAGCATTAGTCATCATGGTCAAGGTTTTATGTCCACAGATTCCTAATTTAAAATATGACAGGAACTAAGTGGTGGTGGCATGCACCTTTAATCCAAAATTTGAGAGGCAGAAGCAGAAGGATCTCTGAGTTGGAGGCTAACCTGGTCTACAGGGTGAGTTTCAGGACAGCCAAGGCTACACAGAAACCCTGTCTCAAAACAAACAAACAAACAAACAAACAAACAAAAAACCCAAACAAAAACCTCCCCAAAACCACCAACAACAAAAAGCAAAATAAAAACCAACAAAAACCAACCAAGCAACCAACAACAACAAAAGAACAACAAAACCACCACACCAAACCAAAAAACATGAATGGCTTTGATAGTTGCTTCTGAAACTTCACAAGCCAGGCCTCCTTTGTGCTGTGCCTCTCTCAACGTGCTTACCTTCTAGGCTCCCACAACAGTTTATTAAGCACTGAGTGCTCACCAATGATTTTAGCCCAAAGTTCCAAAATTCCTTATACAATTTTCCTAAACACAACATAGTCAGGTTAATTATACCTCATGTTCTTGGTACCAATTTAGGTTCTAATTTGCTCTCTGTTGCTGTGATAAAACTCTGACCAAACCAAACCAAACCAAACCAAACCAAAAAAAAGCCGACTTGGGAGTGAAAAAATTCATTTGGCTTACTGCTCACAGTCCATCATTAAAGGAAATCCAAGGTAGTAAGTCAAGGCAGGAACTGACGCAGAGCCCATGGAAGAATGCTGCATACTAGCTTCCCTTCAGGCTCACGTACAGCTACTTTCTTACACAACCCAGGACCATCTGAATAGGTATAGCACCTCCCACAGTGGGCTGGGCCCTCCTATGTCAATCAGCAATCTAGAAAATGCCCCATAGTTCATTGGCCAATTTGATGGAAGCAATTCCTTAATTGGGACTCTCTTTTCCCAGGTATGTTTAGATTTGTGTCAAGCTGACAAAAACTATGATACCCTAGACAGGGGCTGGATTTGAATTTTCAATCCTCCTGCCTCAAGCCTTCTGAGTGGCTATGATTACAACGTTGCACCCTGTTTGGTTATGGACTGATATTTATTCTAGTCAGCTGCGATGTATGTCAGAACTACTAATTATTCATGACAAATATTAGCATTGAGATACAGAAGTGTTTGAAAGAGGTACTTACATTTGTTTTCTAATAGCCTCTTGACTTTCACTTACTTGCATTCAATTTTAAAAAGATTTTATTTTCACTTATGTGTTTGTGAGTGCAGGCACCCATGGAGTCCAGACGTGGGTATCAGATCTCTTGGAGTTGCAGGCAGTCCAGTATGGGTGCTGAGAACAGGATTCTGGTTCTCTGGAAGAGCAGTGTGTGCTCTTAACCAGTAATTCACATCTCTAGCCTTCAAAAATTAAAAAAAAAAGCCCCACATTTATTTATTGTTTGTGTATGTGCACATGTATGCATGTGTGTGTGTTGGTGTACGACAACTTATGGGAGTTGACTCTCCCCTTTGTAGGTCCCAGTGATTAAACTCAGGTCTGTAGCCTAGTCACGCTGCGTGACTAAACTCTTGAGAGTCTCCTGGTCCACCTCCAAACATTTTTTTTTTAAGTGAAGCTAAAAAGCTACAACTAGTCTGTCAGGAGTCTGTATAATCCTTAGTATACTGATGGCTTGTTTCTCATGGGTGCATAATTTACTGGGGGAAGAAAAGCTACCTACCACTCCTTAGTGAGTTTGTACTCCAAAGCCTAACTCTTATCAGAACTGGCAATGCAGAGTAATTTATCTAGATACATATCTAATTAGCTACGTCTCTAATGTAGGCCTCCTTATTGCTCATACTGTTTCCCATTGCATAAATGGCCAGATTTTCAAAGGCCAATTGAAGAAATTGGGGCTGAGGCAGAAGAGAATTATGCAAAGCAATTTGCCTCCTTTGTTGCAATTCTGTGGTTTCAATTCTCAGGGTAAAAGCAAAGGAAACAGCCGAGAAGGTATAGTTTTCTTGTTAGCTAATATTCTAGTAACATTGTTTAAATATATTTGATTGCAGATTACAGTAAGAAATACAATTTAAATAACAACAGGGGACACATTTTAACCTTGATTATTTTTAAAGACAGGGTCTCTTTTAGGAGTCTATTTAATCCTGGAACTTGCTATGGAGAAAGAACAGTCTGGCCTTGAACTCTAACAGAAATGGGCTACTATGGCCAGCTAGTCACAAAGTAACTTTTCAAAAGATTTATTTTATGTGTATGGGTGTTTTGCTTGCATGTACATGCCCTGTCCCTAAGGTGGTCAGAAGAGGTGGGATTTCCTGGAACCACCAGCCTCCACGTGGGTGCTGGGAAGAGAAACCAGGATCTTCAAGAACAACAAGTACTCGTAACTGCTGAGCTCATGCCTCCAGCCTCCCACAAACTAAGTTTTGCTTGGTTTAGATGTTATGCATTCTTATCTTCTAGATCATAGACCATTAACACCTAATTCATTAAAAAAATGAAACTGGCTTTTGTTAGTCTGAAAAAACACTGCTTCAGATAAGTGACAAGTTTCTATCTGCTGATAAACTGGAATGTTACCATCATCACAGAACAATAAGTTTCCTTCCTTGCACAGCCTCAGAACTCAGAAGTAGAGAGCCAGGCAGCTCTCTGTGAGTTCAAGGCCAGTATGGTCTACAGAACGAGTTCCAGGACATCTAGGATTCCACAGAGAAACCCTGTCTCTGAAAAACCAAAACCCGAAACAATCAAGCAGGAAAACCAAACAAACCAGGAAAACAATAAACTTCCCTTATGTTTATGCGAAGTACAAATATAATTTCTTAGGTTTCTTAACAGAAGAACATGGTAGAATCTTTCCCTCATTGGAACAGACAAAATCTAATTGTTTTTCAAATGTTAACATGTCTGCTTCAAGATGTGCCTTAAAGATCAGTGGCCTGGCATAATTTAACCGGGCAGTAAGTTGTTCTTTCTTTGTGCGACATAATGGCCATGTCTGCAATTTCTCAAGAACTGGTATGAAATACATCAGTAACAGGCAGAATCTTGTGACCTATTTAAGTATCCAGAGAATCTGAATGTCATCTGATTTCCTGTCAAGAAATGTAATGGAAATAGGGTAAAGTTAAAACAAAACAAAACAAAAAAACCCAAAAATCCTTGGTTCTGGAGTAGAAGGATAAGCGAATAAGAAATTGAATTTTTTATCACAGAAAACGGCCTTGTTAGAGGCAGCTCAGTCCTCTTTCTGTACTGTTAAGTAGCTTTTCTTTTCTTCTGTATTGTAACTGGCTTTCTTCCAGTGATGAATTCTTTCCCCTTTCCTCTCAACAGGATGGAGAGGGGGTTCCAGGGGTCATGGTTAAAAAAAGCCAAGAAAAAAAAACCCTCCAGAATGAAGAGCTAAATTAGGCTTTATTTTCAAATTGGGAGGTACTATCAAACTGCCACGTTGCTTAAACTGTCACCAACCTCACTGTAAAACTTAATGACTGTAAAAGCTGGCACCGAGAATTTTGAACATGACTAGGAATAACAAAAAAAAGCCTGCTAGGCTATTTTCATCCCAGCGTGACTGAAGTCTACATTTCAAACCTCCTGTGAGGCCAACAGCAAATGAGCCACCACAGTGAACGTGCCATTGGAAATAGGTAGCAGTTCCTGATGGTTTCTCAAGCCAGAATTTCTACTTGCAGCCTCCTCTAGGCCGGTTGGGCTGGAAACGGACCGGGCCGGAGGTCGGGAGGTGGTGATGCAGGCCTGGGGACCTTCCACAAGGTCTCACCTCAGGGGACCTGCCGGAAGGCCGCTCTCCACCTCAGGGCTTCCTGAGCCGGGGGAACCTCGAGGGCGCGGAGGCGAGGTGACAGCTCGCCACCACAACGAGCCTCCAGCAGTTGTCTCTACCCGCGCCCCCATCTCGCCCGGCAGGAGCTAACGGGGACCCGCCTCCTTGCGGCGTCACGTGACGGGAAGGGGCCGTGGTCTGGCCCTGGCCGGGGGCGGGGCTGCGAGAGGGGCGGGCATTGGGATGTGAAGGCTGGTGGCGGCTCGCGGCGCCCAGAAAGGCGGCGTCAGGGTGGATGACAGCATTCTGCTGCGACGCGCTCCCAGCTGGGCGGCGGTGGTAGCGGCAGCAGCGGCGGCAGCGGCAACCCCGGGGCGGCAGCGGCGTTCGACTCAGCCGCGGCCGAGAGCCGTAGCGGTAGAGAAGGAAGGGGTTCCGCCCTGGCCCGCGGGCGGAGGGTCCGGAGTTCGCTCGCCGCTCGGGCTCGGAGCCCCCGCCGCGGCTAGACTGTGCCCTCCGTCGGGGCTGGCTCGCATTTACCGCCGGCGACCGCGACCGAGTGAAGTTGGGGGTCCCAGCGGACACTAGGGCCCCGGACTCCGGCGTCACTGTGATCCCGCGGAAGCCTGCTCCCTGCGGGCCGCCTCCTCTGGGGCTCCGCATCGGTGAGTGGTGCTCAGTCCGGCGTTGGGGGGGCAGCGGAGTGGTGCCTTTGGGGTGACTGTAGTCCCTCAGTCCCACGTTCCGAGCTCGGGCTGTGGGCACTCCTGGGTACCCCGCGCCGCGAGTTCCTCTCCTGCCTCTCCTTTGTCCCTTTAGAGAGGGAGATTGGCAGGGCTGGCGGGGGTGGCGTGTTTTTTGGGGGCCCGCGATAGGTGCGTCTGCAGCGGTACAAAGCCCAGCGGGGACCTGGGATTGGGGGGGCAGCTCGGCGTTCCGGATCCCGAGTGTCTGCCCCTCCCGAAGTTTGACAGGGCGACGCTGGGGCTCTCCGGAAGCCCCCGTGTAAGACCTGGCGCTTTGTCGCTCCGGGTGGTTTTAAGGCAATGCTTGGGGTTTTTCCTTTGACAGCCCTTGAAGTGGTTGTCCCGCTCGCAGGCAGACCGCACCCGCCTTTGCAGAGACTGTCGCGGTGTTCCTTAAACCTCAGCCCCGTTGGCCTTCTTGCCACCCTGGAGAAAAGGCGGTGTCTTCGTTGCACTTTTACGTTTTTGTTTGCTGCTACGCTATGGAGAGTGTAATCGGGTTCCAGGGAGTTTCATATGAAGTATGCTTTTGCTTCATTGAGCAACCCACTCAAGACCGCCTGATGCGAAGCAACAGTAGATGCAGATTTTCCATTCACTAAAAGTCATTTAACACTTCTTTGTGAGCGACATCTGCGTCGTGAAACATAACCTAATTTCATTTTAACTAAATGCCGGCTGAAATAAGTAACTTGGGTTCCCCTCTAAACAGATGGGAAAACTTATCTGATGATAGCATATCTGCTTTCAATAACTTAATGAAGTTTTTGCCTTTTTGCTGCTGGAAGACTTAAGTTACAGTAGTATTAGAATACCTTGGGTAGCAGGATTTTCTTAAAAGTAATTTCACTGTAAACAACCTCAAATTAGTGCAGCCACAAATTAGTGCAATAAAAGGTCTTTCAAGATAACCATTTAAAACAGTTTTTGCTTCTTGAAGGATTCCAGAGAACAATTGAGGTATAGGTAAATTGCTTTCTCTTCCCTTGGGGTTTCGTCTAAATTTGATCATGCGGAGAGACTGATTCGGTATGCTTGCTAGAACCTGTTTTGCAGTGAGATTATTAAAATGCTAGTTTTATAAAAACGGATTGGAGAAGGAAGGAAAAGGTCTTGCAATTTAAAATGCACTCTTATTAAAAGTCCAACTAATTTCTAACGCGTTACTCTTTCTTTTGGTAGCAAGTATGTACTCTTTCTTTTGGTAGCAAGGATGACTGCAGTGTGCTTGTTCAAAGTGTTAGCAAAGAAAATAGATGAAATTTAAGACCTTCCTAAAGCTCTTTAATTATGGAGATTAAGTTGTTGCGGTCAAATTCCATGTGAACAGTTTGAGTCTCAGAGATCAACAGAGGTGCCTAGAAATGTTTGTTTAATTAAAACTGGACATGGTTTGCTTCTTGCATTGAGTTGCGATCATTACTGGATGTCTGATCTGTTCAAACGGTCTTTGCATTTAGAATTGTAATTTTTATTTGCTTGCTTTTGTTTTCTGAGATAGGGTTGTGCTGTGTTGCCAAGCTGGCCATGGTATTCATTATGTAGCTAAGGCTGGCCTTGGAACTTGGCAAAATCCTCCTGCCTCAGCCTCCTGACTGCCACATATATTCCACTATGCCTGGGTTTTGTTACATTTTTTGGAGCTGGGAAATGTTTCTTAACACATTCATAGGATTTAGATATTTGGTAAAATGGTTTTTACTTCTGAACTCATTTTTTAGTTGAGAGTTAAAAATGCACTTTGAGATAGCTATGCAATCCTTTGAAATGACGTTTTCTTTCAACTTAACAATGGTCACTTATAGAATGTGCCTTGACACAAAGATCTTTGTTTTTAAAGGACAAATTGCAAGATTTTAGCTAAGCATTGAGTGGTCCTAGTATACTTCAACCTGGTTTGGGTAATTTCTAATCCATCAACGATAGATAACTTAGACAAAAAATTGATATTTAGATGTTTTGTAATATTATTCTTGAAAACTTTTGCCTTACAGCAATACTCGAAGTGTCATGTTTTGTTATTCTTATATCCAAAGCTGTAAACATGAATAACAATAATCTCGGCTTGCCAGACAGTTAAAAAAACAATAACAATAATCTTGGGAGGCCAGGCAATCAAACTTATAAGAGAAGATCATACCTTATTCTTAAGATAGGATCTGTAAATGAGACGTCAGTGCAGCCTAGAGCTTCTGCGGTGTTGGGTGTGGTGTTTGCTGGTGATCCTGCTTTTGGGAGATAGAGGGAGGAGGGTTACCTTGAATTTACAGCTAGCCTTGAGATCCTGTCTCAAAAACACAAAACAAAAAAGCTAACCAAACAAAACCGCCACCGACCTGGGAGAGCCATTGAGTGTAGGTGGCTGAGCTCACGGGGCTGGCGAGAAGTCCTGAACTGCAGCACTGTGGTTGAAGGAGGCTCCCTGCGCATGGGACCCCAGGTAAATAAGTGAGCTTCCTGCAGATTTCCTGGCAGTGTGTACTAGCAGAGGTTTTAGGTTTCTCCTTCTACCTTAGTCTCTTCCGTACACTCTCACAAAAGCATGCAGTCAGACAGACTCTAGAAGATACAATCATAGGGAGGTTTGTTTTTTTTTTTCCTTGGAACACATTGTGAATCTGACATGTCATCAGGAAGAAGTCCTTAACCTGGAACTCCATACTTCCAAGTTTACCTGTGTAATAGTTCTAGGTGATGCACACTCTCCCCAATAGCAATAATGCATTTTGCCTACCAGTCAGTGAAAACTCTCCAGAATAGCAGACCATCCACATTGTTTATCAGTTACTATATGGGAAAAAAACCTGTAGTTCACAAATGTGACTGGAGAACACATGGAGTAGGTAGTGCCACTCAAAAGTAGATACAAGTAGTGAGGTGATAAAGGGAAGAAGCTGTTTAATATGGGAACCTCCTTGGTGAAGGGGATTTTTATGGTAGGCTTTGGTAGGCTTTCGTGTATTTGAAGGTAATCTGGTGTATTCAGAGCGTGTGTAAGACTGAATGAACCAAATTGGACCTGGTGATACAGGCCTGTAACCCAGCTATTTGGGAGTCTGAGACAAGGGGATCACAAGGTCAAAGCCAACATGATCTGTAGAGTGACTTCAAGATCAGCCTGAACATGCTGACAGGATGGCTTTGCCAGCCTCATGACCTGGCATTTTGGGTTTGATCTCTGGTGGGAGGAGACTCCCAGCTCCTTTAAGTTGTCCTCTGATCACACTACACAGCCTCTGTGACCCATCCCCTATAAATTAGTGAATAAATGCAAAACGAGAGAGCAGCCTGAGCAATTTAGAGTAGAGAGAACTTTCTGGTGGCCGTTTGTTTAAGTCTTTGATCCCACCCAGCACTTGGAGTCAGAGGTAGGTGAATCTCTGAGTTCAAGGCAAAAACAAAAAGAAGGAAAGAAAAAAGAAGTTAAAAATCATGTTGGGAATGGATGTAGTTTAACAAAACAAAACAGTCAAGTTTCAGTCAACAAAACAAACCTTAAACAATGTCACAATAAGCACAATTGTTTTTATCTTCTGTTATATTAGGAAGAACTTTTCTTCTCCCATCCCAGTGCTTACCTCCCCCAAGATATAAAAAGTCTGTATGTTTTGTTTAAAAAAAAAAAAAAAGTGAAAATACAGTCAGGCTCGGTGTCACATGCTTTCAATCCCAGCGCTTGGGAGGCAGAGGCAGGCCTGAGTGCAAGGCCAGCCTCGTCTACAGAGTTCCTGGACAGCCTGGGCTACACAGAGAAACTCTGTCTTGAAAAACCAAACCACGGCCAGGCGGTGGTGGCGCACACCTTTAATCCCAGCACTTGGGAGGCAGAGACAGGCGAATTTTTGAGTTCGAGGCCAGCCTGGTCTACAGAGTGAGTTCTAGGACAGCCAGGACTATACAGAGAAACCCTGTCTTGAAAAACCAAAAAAAAAAAAAAAAAAAAAAAAAGAAAAGATAAAGAAAAACCAAACCAAACAAAAAGTGAAAATACAGAGTAGTTCAGTTTTTAGGAATGGCAATACAGTTACAGAAGGAGGTTTGAGTATATCTTAAACAAGTAATAGTTCCTTCAGCAAGTTACCGGCCTTGGCTTTCTCATTTGTAGAGTGGGATACTGTCCTTAGCTTACTCGGTGGTTTGGAGAATGCAATTGTGTGTGTTTTCATCTGCCTACCTCAGTATTTAGTGTGTGGAGAGATTCCAACTATTATAAAATGAGGTGAAATGTTTTCTTTGCATCTAGATCTTCAAATACTGTTTTGGTTCAGGTATTATTAATTTGAACTTAGAGCCTTGCATGTACTAGGTAAGTGAACTACTAGTGGACTACCTAGGCTAGTTTTCCTGAGTTCTCATATTTACATTCTTTACCTAATTGACCCATGGTAATATTCTTTCAGATTCATAGTTTGTGCTTTTTCTGTCTGTGTCTATCTCCTCTTAAATTCTCCATGTAGTCAGATTTGACACTGAATTCCTGATTCTCCAGTGTGGTCTTGTTATTACAGGAATGCCCATTCATGCCCCAAAGGTAGTTTTTCGTCATGTAAAACTTAGTGTTTTCTTATAGAAGTGAATCTTAACTGTATCACTGACCCTTGTCACAGATTACAAGGAAGGCTGGATTCCTCAGAATCATGAAGCTCCAGTACCTGTTTGCTCTTTATGACTCTCAAAGCTTTGTTATTCCTGTGAGTCCTTTGTAACTTTCACGATCCATGCAGCACTCTGATGCATATAAAATGTTTGAGATAGACTTTGAGTTTTGAAATGATAGAAAGACTGCTTACCACAGATCTTCTATTTTAATCAAAAGTAGCAGAAAATCTGACTCTTTAGGCTTTTCTTTCTTGTAAAATTTTTAGTATATGTGCTGCCGAAGCGAGCACTCTTGTAAAATTGTTTAAAAAATTGTTTAA